TGAGCAAAGCAAATGCATGGAAGGCGCATGTGTGAGCAAAGCGCATGCAAAGAAGGCCTTGTGCATGCACAGAAGGTGTATGTGCGCGCAAAGTGAGCATGCGCGCACAGGGCGAACCGGTGTTAAAAATAAGTGAGACCCACCACTGGGTAAAACTATTTTTATTATATTTCTGCCCCTCCCAATGCTGAGCTCACATCTTTTTCTTCTGATTTTGCATCAAAGGATTCTCTAAGTAGAGGAGTGTACTGCCAAGACATTTACACAATTTTAATTACGTCCCTTTGTTCAGTTTGTGAACTAATACTTTTTTTCTATCCTGATATGCATATGTATGAACATTTAAAGTTCCCTGTATCCTGATGCTTAAAACAACCATATTAGACCCATGAAGGGGTTTTTTAAAGCTGTTTTTAATTCTATAGGAGTTGCCCCTTGGAATGTAATTAAATCTGATCTCTTTCACTTGAAGCCAAATGAATAATTCATAGGTTTTAATCAGCTTTTGTGCTTTGTGAAATTCTCAGATGATGCATGGAAAGGTTTTTTTACTTGAAAAAGAACAGAAGAAATATTCTGTTTCCTTTTCAGAATACAGGTCTGTGTATGATTGCATGTGTACAGACCTATTATCTCAGATGTACAACAATGCAAGTTGTGTAGAATACCATCTTATTGGGTAACAAGCCATGTGTGTATCACTCACTGCGCACAAGCAATTTTCATAATGTTAGATAAATAGAGCCTCCATGTTTAGTGCCAGGCTGCTGCCTGAAAACAGCAGAGGAAATTTAACACCATCAAGTGATATTTGTTGGGTTCTTGGTGGTATTTTGTTGCTATAATAACAGAAATGCTGGATTAAAATGAATACTGATGTACAGCATTTGTCTGGTTTTGTTATGTAATTATCTTTTAATAGAATTAAATTCAACATGGTGCACATTCATAACCTCTTTCATTCTCTCCAGTTCTCTTTTACAGTAAGATATCTCTTGATATATGTTGAAGGTTTGGGGAAATCACAGAGCATTTAAACTCCTGATTAAACTTCCAAGAAAAAAAAATATGCTGAACAAAACCCACATAAACTCACCCCTATATGATTTTAGCAAAATGTTACAGGCTAGAGTGCTTCTGTCAACTTTCCACTTCCACTCTCTTCCATGTTATTTCCATTTTTCCCATTGAATAGCTAGCATTCTGGACCCCAGTTAGGTCCAAATTATATTTGCTTTTTAATGTAGTCTTTCCTCTCTATTCTCTAGAATTGTTTCCAATTGTTATGGTACTTTTCATGTCTTGGTATTTAGATCGACATCCAGAAGATACTGTTAGTGTAAGTAAGGCTTGTATGCCTATGGGCTGCCTGAAATTGTGAGCTGTTTAGTCTTGCAGAACAGCCAAAGGCTCTGGGAAATCACCAGAACTCACCAGCTAATTGGTATCTAAAGAACCATCCAGACTTCTATTTGCACACTTTGAAGGATAGATCAAAACCAGAGTGTCCCATTCTGTGCATCTAGACCAGGGGTATCAAACTTGTGTCGTGATGGCTTCATCACGTGACGTGTCATAACTTCCCTCCCCTTTGCTAAACCTGCAGTTGGTGTGGCTAGTGCATGCTACATCTGGCCCGCGAGCTGAGAGTTTGACAGCCCTGATCTAGACTATATCTTCTTCCTTTATGTTTTTCCAGTTTTGAAGGACTCCTCTGTTCCTCTTAGTGTTGGCTTCAAGATTTGATTGCTGTCTCACACAGTCATCCTGGATATTGGCCAGACTATTTTGTGTCATTCACATATTTAACTAACAGCCTATCAATTTTGTTCTCAAGGCATTAATAAAAAATGTTGAGTAACATTGGTGTCTGTAGGACCTCATTGGTTACCATTCTCTAACATGAGGCAGAGACATTAATGTTGACTTTGTGATTGAGTTGTCAATTTGTGAAACAGCATTTCCTTATTTTTCCTCAGAATTGGCTCATCAATTAGCAGGAAGCTTTCAGCAGCCATCTATAACAGTATAGCATCAAAATATATCAGCAGAAGTCAACCATCTCCTGCTCACTGCTTCAATGTCTGCAACTGTTGTGCCTCTTTTTCCAACAGAGAGGAAACAGCAGGATGGAATAAGATGGAAAAGCTCATGTCATGCAACTTGAACATTAAATAAATTCCTTTAGTGGATGCATTATGTGAATGTATTATTATTAATAATAATGATTGATACACACACACACACACAAATCTCCATGTAGTGATACGCTTGTATTCTTTCATGTTCTCCAGAACTAAAGTAGACCTTAGAGAAATTATCATGAAAAGTAATGTGTTGAAAGGAAACCTAAGACAATATTTTTCCTTCTTCCCCGACAACAAAATTTGCCTATCCAAAACTCTTATTTGTATCGAGTCTGTATTGAACCCAATTGAAGTTTCTTCGAGATGCAAAGGGAAAATTCACAAATAGGCTTGCGTCACTGAGAAGCTGTGGGAGAGAAGTGCCAAGATGAGTCTAAGTGTTTCCCTGGGTTAGAGATTAGTAAACCATTCACTGCCTTTTCCAATCTGCCTATGCCATCCCCTCAATCCTTTTCATTTCCGCCTGTTGANTATATATATATAGCGATTATATATATTATATATAACGCTATTATATATAGCGATATATAACGCTATATATATATATAGCGATTCCCAGCAAGGGTATGGCTAGCTGATGAGAGCTAAATAGCTTGAAATAGATCTATACTAGTCTCCCTTTATTTATTTATCAGCACAAATATAACATATATATATAAATGTGTGTGTAAATAATAATAGTAGTATAAATATCTGGCTGACTGTGTGACCAAAGAGAAAAATAATAATAGCTCTTTGTTATTATTTTATGATGTTTGCAGATGTGCTGGCAAAAATAATTTTTACTAGTGGCCCTTGATAAATCTAGTGCCTTAAGAAAAAAGATGGGGTTTGGAAATGACCTGAAGTATTCTCATGAAGCTTTGCAGAAACTGCAAGATTGGGAATTACGGCTATTGGAAACAGTGAAGAAATTTATGGCGATGAGAATAAAAAGTGACAAAGAATACGCATCCACTTTACAGAATCTTTGCAATCAAGTTGATAAAGAGAGTACGTCACAACTCGATTATGTCAGTAATGTAGCAAAGGTAAGAAAATATAATTTAATTTAAATTTAAAGTGAGTAAATTTTTAAAAACTGATAATCTACAAATTTGCAAACGTAAACACAAAGAATGATTTTAAGACTACAGCTGTAAGGATACAATTTCTTGGTTTCTGTTGAATTCTGTAGACTTAAATAAATATAATTTGATTGTTTATCTTGATGCTAAACTACTTAATTTCTCAGTGTATGTTTTCTGTATGGGACTTGATTTGTTTTGTATTTGAGAATTTCTTTGTAGATTTTTGGGGTAAATCATAAGCTTCCATTCTGCCCCAAAAATTTATGTTTCAAGTAGTCCTTGGTTAACAATAGCAATTAGAATATCTGTTGATAAGTGATGTGGATGTAAAGTGTGACAATTGTTTAGCAACAGTAATTGCAGCACTCATTGCCATCATTAAGTCACTGCAGTTGTTAAGCAAGGATATCAGATTTTGCCCTTTGTGACTTTCTGACCAGTCTCATCATTGACTTTGCATTCAATGTGATCTTTGCACAGATCACAATCTTGGGATTCTTGGACAGCTAGAACTTGAAATGCATCTAACAAGGTTATACAGATAGTTTTTGCTTAGCTATGGCAATGAGGACCAGAATTTCTGTTCCTAAGTGACACAGCTATAAAATGTGACATCATGTGACTGCATTGCTTAGCAACGGCAATCCTTGCATTTCCCCTTTGCCACTGCTAACCAAGGATCTTGGGTCATTAAGTAAATCCCAAGTGGCTTCAAAGCAAGCTGGTAGGAGGTAAGTGGCTGCTGCTGGGCAAGGAAGAATATGTAGGTAGCCAGCAAAATGACAGTTTATTTAGAACATCTTATTTGCCTTTTCACTTTTATCTGTTTCGGAGAGGCAATTTAAAAATGAATTGGAATTTTATGACTTATTATTCTGATTACTACTTTTCATATGTGAATTATTTTTTGAGCCAAAATTACTTAAAAAAATAAAACTTAAAGGACTTAGAATTCCATTCTAAATACATTTGATACCAATATTATGTAACATATTTTCAAACTTGGAATTAATAGTTTCTTTTCAGATGTTTCCTACTAACTATATAAATGTAATCTGAAGTGATTTGGGGGAATTGTTCTGTTACTTTCCATGTTTATATAAAATAGTCTTTATGTACATTAAAGTATATTGTCTTTATGGCCCTATATTTGAGTTGCTATTTGAACTTGTATTCTTAAATATAGCCAGGTATATGCTACTAATCCTACTGTACTGTGAGCTCTGCCAATAAATACTTAAACATGTCTTATCTTTGGAAAGTTGACCTTTATATTTTTGGTTTTTAAGCCAATAATAAATCTCTTTTCATCTCTTTTTAAGTCATGGTTGCTTATTGTGCAACAAACAGAACAGCTTAGCAAGATCATGAAGACACATGCAGAAGACTTGAATGCTGGGCCATTACATAGACTTACTGTGATGATTAAAGACAAACAACAGATAAAGAAAAGCTATGTAGGTGTTCACCAGCAAATTGAGGCAGAGATGTTCAAGGTATATTTTAAAAGTACCTTTTACATTATTATACACACTTCATTCATTGAAATATGTTCAGACTTTTGTCTTTGACTGCCAATTCTTCTTAGCTATTAATGTCTGTTAACTTTTAAATTTTACTTATAAGCAAATATATAAATGTGTGGAAAATTTGTACAGAAATATAAGTTCCTTTGCTAAGTTAAAAATGGGAATGGACTATTATTTCCAAGTATTTTTAATATATTACTTATAGCAAATTGCAATATTCCTAGACTTTATAGGAAGAAAAATAAGTTACCGTAAATTATGTTTTCGATACTTACATTTTCAAAATCAGAGACAGTTTTCTCTGCAAAGAGAATTTTAACCCCCAACCCAGGCTGTTTTTATAGTAAGAATATACAGATGGGTTTTCTACTGAAGAGTACTGTTTCCTATCAAAATCATTGTTGTGGGCATTTGTTCCAAAAATATGATCCATGGAATTACTCAATTGTTGTCTCAGAATGTTTCTGCTTAATAGGGCCCCACATAAGGAAATGAAATATACCCTTACTGATCTTTCTATGCTTCATCTTATCTATTGTGTAGATAATGTCTAAACTCTCATAGTATATGTTGATATGCCAATTTCTTTTCTATGTTTTTTTGTGGATAGGTTACAAAAACTGAATTGGAAAAATTAAAATGTAGTTATAGACAATTAATTAAAGAAGTAAACTCTGCCAAAGAAAAATACAAGGAAGCATTAACTAAAGGTAGGTATATAATGGCTGTTAAATTATTATTTAGATTTAATTCAATCCCTAAGACCTTTGAACATGGTAAAAGTTATAGAAGCAATACAGTTGGTGGACACATTGCTGGTTAGTTAGGTGGAACTGAATGGGAGGAAAAAGGGCTATATATGCTACCTTGAGTTCCTTTGCAAAAATCTGAATATACAACCTATTACAACCATTGTTGAATAAGTCAGTAACTGGATTGACACATAGTGCTGAATGGTAAACTGTGTTTTATAAATGATATAGTTTCATGCATTATAGCTTAAAATTATATGTGTTAAAGTGATATATTTTAAATTTTTGCTTCCCTTACACCTAAATAATAAACTTAAGAGTTCTAAAACTGTTCTCTTATTGATTCTATTCCTGATAGCGTTGTATATCAGTGGGTTTCACAGTCTATCTCTCATTTGATTACTGTGAGATAGGTGGCCATTCAAATTTAATTAATAAAAAACTCAGAGGACCTATTCATTAAATTAAAATTTTGCAATAATACCTTAAGAGTAACAGAATACAATTAAATTTCTTTTTAAAGACTTAACATGAACACAACTCCATGCTTATTTATTTTGTCACAAGTATTAGTATCCTCAATTTTATTTAAAAAAATTCTAGTTACTATATGTCTCTTTCTCTTTCTTTTTTTGCTCCCAGTCCATTTCTCAGTTGCCTCTCCTCTTTTATTCCCTTTTTACATATTCTCCTAGCTTTGTGGTTGCCTTCCTTGTAAGAAAGTAACTAATTAATCTTTCATTTTCTGTAGTAGAATGTAAGCAATCTAGTGTTTCATTTGGTACCCATACATGCTTGAGGCCATACTAATAATTTGTGCATAAAAATTGTACAAGTGCTTCTACAAGTTCTTTTTAAGGAGCTACAAGAGGGAATTCTTCAGCAGTTCTCAAGCATTCTATAAGAGGTTGTTTTTGTAGGAGAATTTGATTTAGTTGTACAGGTAGTCTTCGCTTACTGATGTAACTGACACCAGGAATGTCACTAAGTGACAAGGTTGAAAACGGAACATATATAACTGTCCCAACTTACGATGGCAGTTTTATAGTTCCGGTTGCTGACATTAGGTGACTCTCACATGGTTGCAGTGTCTCTCAATCATGTGATTGTCAATTGCAACTGCCTGCTGGCTTCCCCCTTGACTTTGATTTCCCAAAGTAGCAATGAAGGTTAGAAATGGCACTTACATGCTGCAGTGTAAACACAAGCATGTGATCCTGCAATGGCTGTAGTTAGGAGAACTAGTCATAAGCCCCTTCCTTCAGCACCATTGTAACTTTGAATGGTTGCTGAACAAGTGATTATTAAACAAGTAGTACCTGAATTATAACAATTGCACTTAGACTTCTCCTGAGCGCTGCTTGGAGAGTACAAGCATGGGTTAACACAGTCTATCTGCCCTAGGACTGAGTATCTTTTTTTACCTTGACCACGCCTCTCTTTGCCTCTTCAATCTCATTTTAAAAACTCAGTCTGCCCGTGAGGACTAAAATTTGGGGAGTTCCTCGGTCCTAGAGCAGATAGAGTGGACTTCCCATTATAATTACACTTCAGATTGTTAATAGCCATCCTCAAGACCACCTGGAATGATCTGAGAGTTGAAAACTTGCTGTAACGCTGTTTATCGCTGCTGAGAGGTTGCCGAAGTTGCTGGCCACCGCTGGTCGCAAGCAGAGCGGAAGCGTGAGTTGTTCGCCCGGCGGCTGCCAGCAAACAGTGGGAACAGGTGGGGGCCTCCCAACCGGTGTTTTCCCCCAACCGTCAGGCATTTAAGAACAGCACGGAGCCTTATCCAGGCTCCGAAGGGTGTGGGCGGTTCTCAGCAATCCGGCCGTTGCGGCAGCCATTTTAAGTGTTTCGCGTGCTTTTCCCCGGCGACAGAGGACAAAAACGGTGCACGCAGCAGCGGCCATTTTGGGCGACCCCTTTCAGAGCTGCATGCAGCCACGTGTGAGGCAGTGGCTTAAACAGGACTCTAGTGTCAGCAAAGGTAGCGGCGGCCATTGTCATTGGCTTGGCGCCGCTATAATCACATGGGTTACCTGAGAATCTCAGCAGCATTAGCGGATCGCCGTCAGGAAATCGGAGGCTTGTCTGGGGTGCCAGCAAGTCACTCCTTCCGCGCTGCCTCAGTCGGACGACTACGGACAGCCTGAGGAAGGGTTCTGTCCCGCGGGCATCCCTCTCTTCCACACCAATCTGCGGGCGCTCGAAGCTGGCTGGCTCGTGCCCAAACCGGCCTACTGGTGAAAGCTTTGCTTTGTGACCTGTTCCTCGTCTGTACCACCATGCCAGACGGAGGTTCGGAAGCTCAGGAGGTACAACCAGGGCCCTCTGCCAAGCGTAGTAGGCTGGATCACCCGCCCAAAGGGGGTAAAGGGAGTAAGGGTCCTTCAAATAGGAACCCCATGGGGCCCTCTGAAGGCATTGAGAAGAGGGACAGTGCCAAACACTGCAAAACGGGGGGGCTCCCCCAAATCACGGGAGCCAGATCCATCCGCAGAACACAGGGAGGCACCTGATCCTACCCCGGGGCAGAGGGTTGAGTAGGGGCCTGACTCCCCCCGGGCGAGTAGGTCTCCTTCATCAGCAGGGGATATCTCCAGAGCTTCTTGGGGCTACCTGACTCCCCCAGTTCTTCCCTGAGGGAGGAACTGGAACCATTCCAGGACATCCTCCCCACAGAGGAGGATTCCACCTTGAGGGGGTGCAGAAGCCGGGGGGCTTCTAGCAGGCCTCGCCACAGGGAAAGTAGGAGGCCGGCCCTGTTCGCAGAAATGAAGGAGATCATATCTCTGGCTATCTCCCAGGGCATTGCAGAGGGCAGGAAATACTGAGCTAACAAAGAGGCCACTCCAAAGCCTAAACAGGTTCCCAAGCAAAAGGTAGACCAGGCCCCGGCCTCTCCTAGCTCCTCGGTGGCTACGGAGGAGTCCACTTTGGAGGAGGGGGAGGTAGAGGACTTCGAGTTGTCGGAAGACAAAGACCTCCCCCCCTGATAAGCCAACCTTCACCGGCCTTTTTAAACCTTCTCTCTTCAAGTCCATCCTCCATAAGGCGAAGGTGGCCACAGAGTTAGGCTCTACCCCCAAGGGGTGTACCGCTGGTTCCTCGAGCACCAGGGACCACAAGGAAGGCCTGTTTAAAGAGACGGCTCCGGCCCAGGAATTAATTCCAGTGTCGGATCTCTTTATGGATGTTGTCCAGAGGCAGTGGATTCAGCCTGGGACCTTGAGCAACCCTAGCAGGGGAGACAAGTCTCTTTACACCGTGGAGAATAGGATGGATGGATGGCCCTGAAGCTGCCTGAAGTGGACGCTCTGGTGGTCTCCCTAATTCTAATCTGCCGGCGGACCTTCTGGAAGGTCTCAAGGCGGAGGATAAGAAGTCAGAAAAAGCATGCCTTAAGACTCACCAGGCGGCTGCCTGGGCCATTAGGACATCCACCTCAGCCTCTTTTTCATAAGATCTTCTCTCCTTTGGCTGAGACAACTGAGATCCAGGCTCCCCTCTGGGGGATCTCATTGGAGGCATGACCTAACTAAAATCATCACTGCTGTGGAATATTCCGCTGATGCGTCCTTGAATGTAGCTAAATTTGCATCCCGGGCACTAGCTTCAAATGTTACCTCTCAACATCTGCTCTGGCTTTGCCACTGGCAAGCGGAGATGAAGGCCAAATGGAAGCTGGCGTCTGCCCCCTTTAAAGGGGGTCTCCTATTCGGAGATCCCTTAAACAAATTCACCATTGAGACTAAGGATAAGAGGAAAATTCTACCAGCAACCCTTAAAAAAATCTGACCGCAAGGGGTCTGGTTTCTTTTGGAGGCAGGCCTTTCAAGCACAGGACAATGCCCAACTTTCCACCTCTTCCTCCTACCATAGGCCATACTCCCAGTCGGGCGATAGAGGTCAGGACAGGGGTTCTTTCGGCGCACGGGGTAGGCAATAGCAGCAGCAACACTCCTTTTGCAAGCCCTTGCGTGGCGGAGCCAATTCCTGAAACTTCCGCAGAGGGAAGTGACTACCACAGGGATCCCCCCCATAGGGGGTCGGCTTTAATATTATGCCGACAAGTGGGGGGAGATAACCACAGACAAATGGGTGCTGAACACGGTCAGGAAGGGTCTCCTTCTGGAATTTCTGTCATTTCCCCAAAGAACCTTTATCCGTTGTCCATCTCCCAGGAGTCCCATGAAAAAGGAACTCATGCAGACGGAGATCCGTCACTTAATCCAGACAAGAACCATAGAACCGGTCCCCAAGGAACAGGAGAAACAAGGGTTTTACTCAATCCTGTTTCTAGTGCTGAAGGCATCAGGGGGGTGGAGGGCCATCTTGGATCTGAAGCACCTGATCCTCCATCTGGCATACAAGCGGTTCAGAATGCAATCCCTCCACTCCATCTTGGATTGCATAAGGCGGGGAGACCTCCTCACCTCAATAGATCTAAAAGAGGCTTATCTTCACATTCCCATACACACAGCCCACAGAAAGTTCCTGAGGTTCTTCTTCGAAGGGGAACATTACCAGTACCGAGCTCTCCCCTTCGGCTTTCCATTGGCACCCAGGACATTCACAAAACTGCTGGCGGTCGTAGCGGCCCACCTCCAGAGCAGCCCCATCCGGCTGGAGTGTTATCTTGACAACATCATAATCCACTCCTCAAACCAAGCCCAAGCTCGGCGGGATGTCCAGACTACCACCAGAACACTCCAGCAACACGGCTTTTCAGTAAACCTGAAGAAGAGCCACTTGGAGCCAACTACACGCATACAACACCTGGGCATCATCCTGGACTCGAACTCTTGTCAGGTTTTCCTGTCTCCGGAACGGTTGAGGACTCTACAGGACAGGGTGCGCCTTTGCAGTGCGTCCAGGTCAGTTCAGATTGTCCAGTTGTCAACTCCTGGGCATTATGATTTCCTGCCTGAAGGTAGTTCCTGGGCTCGCCTTCA